AACTCACAATCTCCACTATTTGGATTATTCCATAACGTTAAGAACATTGTGCCTCATATATGAAGCATTTTTCTGTCTTCACCAACCCAGAGTCTAATGCTAAATTTAACCTATTTTACAAAGGTTAAATAACATTCTTCCTTCTAAAAAATGTTATTATTATTTTTTTTTTGCAATTCCAGAGTTAACATTACTTACTACTAAATGAAGCCAGGTGATCCATGAACCTTTCTAAGATGCAATGGTAATTGCCTTCTTTTGAATGATGCTTTATGGATATTCAGCCACTGCAAAAAGAGGAAAAAAAACACATCTAGCAATTTTTAAGCGCTGAGAACTTTCCCGAGTTCCTCTCCATTAGATTCAGGTGAAACAAACTCTACCTAACTCTGACCTTATAAATTCTAATTTTTCAAAGTGAATCATTGTATAGTATGATGGGTAACTTTCTGTAGTTTCAAAAACAAATAGGATTCAAGGGAACTGGCTGCACAGAGTAAAAAGGAATTCATTTTACTGGTTAGCAAGTGGATTAATTTGAGTACAGGTAATCCTTACTTAATGACCACTCATTTAGCAATGGTTTAAACTTATTATTGGTGCCAATACTCATCACCTGTACTTGTAGCTGCAATTATTGCATCTCCATGGTCATATGATCCAGGCACCGGGCAAACGTCTCACAGTTACAACACTGTAGCATCCTGCAGTCACATGATCTCCATTTGCAACCTCTGTTGCTAGCTTCCAGCAAGCAAAGTCAATGAGGAAGGTGGCAGAAGATCACAAATGGCAACCAAATGATTATCACACTTAACCCTGGTGCAGAAGTTGCTTAATGACACCCATCGGAAATGCCAGAACTGCTGTCATTTAGTCACACGGTCATGTGATGTTACACTTTACATCTGCGTCACTTAGTGACATAAGGACTGTAATTCGGACAAGAATTTTAAGTGAGGACTACCTGTACTTTGATGGAATCACAAAATGTATGGAGAAATTTTAAGATGTGTATATACTGATAGAAAGTTAGAATAGGTGATGTAGTGAGTTGCAAAGAAAGATTACGGATAGTCGTTGAATATGACTAGTCACTTAGCAGCTATTTGAAATTATGACAGACTCCCCCAGAACTACTTATGGGTCCAGTTTCAAAGTTCAAAGTTGCCTCCCCTCTGGGCACTTGACAACTGGCCCTCATGCAGGACCATTTGCAGCATCCCATGATCATAGGACTATTTTTGGCATTTTTGCCAGAAACACCCATTAGCTAAAATGGTTTTGTTTAACAACTGGGAAACCACTTAACCACCACCACAAAAAAGGTCATAAAGTCAGATTGATCATGTAGCAATCTGCTTAATGACCACAACTTATAATCAACTTACAAACTCAAATACTTTGGCCACCTAATGAGAATGAAGGACTCACTGGAGAAGGGTCTAATGCTGGGAAAGATTGAGGGCAACAGAAGAAGGGGACGACATGGCGGGAATGAGATGGCTGGATGGAGTCATTGAAGCAGTAAGCGTGAGCTTCAATGGACTCCAGAAGATGGTAGAGGACAGGAAGACCTGGAGGAACGTTGTCCATGGGGTCGTGATGGGTCGGACACGACTTCGCAATTAACAACAACAATTACAATTACAATTTTTGGCTCATTTACAGTCATCAGTCAAGGACTTCCTGCATTTGCTAAAATAAGCAAAAATAGCTTCATTCAAGAATGTTTTTCCACCCAGTTACGAGGAAATATGAATTGGATACATCACAAGAAACATAATCTTGTGGTTAAGGCAGCAGACGAGACAGCAAGAGACAGTGAACTAAGTCTTGTCTTAGCCATGAAAACCAACCGGATGACTTTGGGCCTGTCGCTCTCTCTTAGCCCAGCCCACCACACAGGGTGGTTGTGGGGAAAATAGGAGGATGAAGATGTGTTGGATACGTTTGCTGCCTTGAGTTATTTGTAGAAATAATAAAGGCAGGATATAAATAGATAAATTTATAAAAGAAATTTGAGTGTGTTGGGAATGGAGTAGTTAAGAAGTGTGTGATGGAAAACAAGGATTGGAGACACAATGAAGAAGTGCTGAATGAGCGTGGATTGAACACAAAAGTGCACAAACAAGACAGAATGAACAAGAATTGCCTCACTAAATTAATACAGTAGTCCTCAACTTACAACCATTTGTTTAGTGACCATTCAAAGTTGAAAAAAAGTGAAAAAAAGTGATTTATGACCATTTTTCACACTTACAACTGATGGAGCATCCCCATGGTCATGCGATCAAATTTGGCAACTAGTTTCTATTTATGACGGTTGCAGCGTCCCGGGGTCACGTGACCCACTTTTGCAACCTTCGGACAAGCAAAGTTAATGGGAAAGCCAGATTCACATAACAACCCTGTTGTTAACAACTGCAATGATTACTTAACAACTGTGGCAAGAAAAGTCATAAAATGAGGCAAAATTCATTTAAGAAATGTCTGACTTAGCAACATAAATTTTGGGCTCAATTGTAGTCGTAATTTGAGGACTATCTGCACCTGAAGGAAGAATGGACAGGAAAGGGAAAACTCTGAAAATCAGAGTTGCTGAAGACGATATTCCAAAGACAGGAGTGAGAACAAAAAGCAACCGTATAAAGCAGGGGTCTTCAAACTTGGCCCTTTTATGACTTGTGGACTTCAACTCCTAGAATTCTTTAGACAGGCACGCTGGTTGTGGAATACTGGGAGTTGAAGTCCACAAGTCATAAAAGGACGATGTTTGAAGACCCCCTGGTATAAAGTGTTGCATGGATGTATGTGGAATTCCCCAGCCAGCATGTGTGGGCTTCAACTCCCAAAATTCCCTAGCCAACATATTGGCTAGAGAACTCTGGGAGTTGAAGTCCATGCATCTTAAAATTGCTGATGTTGAGAAACACTGCTTTACATCCCTATAAAGTCTCCCCTAAACAAGCTCAACTCTTGGGGGATTCATGAACTGTTCATACATGTAGTTTTCTTGGAAAGTACACCAAAGTAGTTTGGCCCTTTCTTCTTAGGCATTTTTTTAACTTTCCAGCCTGCGGGGAAAAAAAATCTCCCATGCAAAGAAGACTGATAGGGTTTCATCTGGAACTGGAGCTGCTGCCCCCTAGAGGGCGACAACCGCTACATCGCACCCTGACCATCTCAACCGCTCCTTTCCTCCCTCCCTCTCGAGATCGCTGCTTACGTCAGCGCCACGCGCCCCCTCGTCCAATAAGCGGGAGCCGGCGCACGCGCAGACCCCGCCCGCGTGGTTCCTCACGGCACGCGCTTCCCCGCTTTTGCTGCCCACCCCCCCTTTCCCCCCACCCGCGCGCATGCCCTCTTTCAGGCTCTTCTTTCTCCCGCTTCCCCTCCCACCGAAATCACCTCCCCGGCTTATTTATTTTATTGATTTGTTTCTGCCTTCACTCTTTTCGTTCCACCGAAGCCGGCTTTGCTCTGCCTATACCCTCGGCCGGCCTTCCGACGTTCAACGATACCTGCTCCGGACAAACCTCCGGGCGGAAGGTCCTTAATCTTCCTGTCTTTCTTTTCTTTCCCTCCCTGTTGATGCTTTGCCGGCGCGCGCGCACGCGCCTCTTCCCGCTCCCGCTCGAACGTGCTCGGGCCCGATCGGGGGTGGGCGGGGCATCAGGGAGGTCGAGCACGCGGGCACCTCCTTTTCTCCCCCACCGCTCCTGTTGGGCACCGTTGGGCACCGCCCCCTTCCGCTTTCCCGCCTTTTCGGCGCGCGCGCCCGCAGGAATGTTCTTTCGAGGCGGGCACGCGCTCCCCAGGTGGCCGTTTTTGTATGAATGAGCGAGAACGGAGGAAGAGGAAGGCGAGACTATAACTCAAGAGTCGTCAAACTGGGCCCTTTTATGACTTATGGACTTCAACTTCCAGAATTCCTGAGCCAGCGTGCCTGGTTGAGGAATTCTGGGAGTTGAAGTCCACAAGTCAAAAGGTCCAAGTTTGAAGACCTTTGCTATAACTATTTGGATGAGCACGCCAGCCCTCTCTCCCCTCCCGTTAAAAAAATTGGCCATTACTATGGGAAATAAGCCCTCAAATGCGAACTTAATTGGCTCTAAAATGGGTCGTTAGCAGTTAAAATGAACCATTAGCAATTAAAATAGGAAATTAATGACTACAATAATGGCTGTGTGGTTAAATCAAGCGCTTCTCAACCTCAGGCATTTAAGACCTGGGGGACTTCAACTCCCAAAATTCTGGCTGGGGAATTCTGGGAGTTGAAGTCCACACATCTTAAGTTTCTGAGTATCTATGGAGAGTCTCAATCATCCGCCTTGTCCCAAAGGTGCTTTTCAAAAGGCAACTTAATCTGGCTGTTTTTTTTTTTTTTTTTGAAAAGCATCTTTGAGGTAAGTTTCTGAAATTGAAAAACACTGTTTTGGGAGCTCCGTTCAGAGCCTGGCTCCTAGCCTTTTATTATAAGTCACTCACTGAGTCCATTCATTTAGAATGAATCCCAGTATACTTGCCAAATCCTGCTTTACAAGAGTTTCTTCCTCCATTTCTTGCATTGATCGACCCTCGCTTTCTTGCAGGCTTCTTCCTGCATCCATCCTTCCTTCCTTCCCTTTACTTCTTTTCCTTTCTTCCCCCCTCCCTTTATTTTTTTCCTTTCTTCTTTCCATTACCCTCCCTCCATTTTCCCTTCCTTCCTTTACCTCTTCTCCCTTTATTTTCCTTCCTTCCCTTCTTTTTTTCCTTCATCCATTAACCTCCCTCCATTTTTTCCTTCCTTCCCTTTGCCGCCCATCTCGCTGCCAAAGCGACTCTAGGGGAGGTGCGCTACCTTGGGCTGAGACACCCAGGTTCCCCCAGATCACCCCATCATTCCTAATTGCCTGCAGCACGCCCCTTCCAATCGCTATTGCGTTTTTTCCATCAAGAATTAAAACGTGGGCACGCAACAGATAAAAATCCCTCCCATCCGCGTCCGGTCTCTACAAATAGTCCTGCCCGGAACTTTTGTGACGGCTGCGTGTTTTCCCCGGATCGCTTAAGGGAAGGGACGAGCAAGATGGCGGCGGGTGCTGTTGAGCCACGTGGGGAAGCGAAAGTTCTCGGCGCTGAATTGGAAGAAAGCGATACTGGTAAAGCTGGGGAGAGGATTTGCAACTGGTTAGCTGTCTAATGGGTAGCCGATGGGAGAAGAGGCAGCGGCAGTTGTGGAGAAAGACAAAAAAGGGTTTCTGCTTAAAAAGCGACGGACAAATTAAAATCGTCTCCTGTATTTATAACGGAAAGTGTAGGATACAGGGGTCCCTGTTGGGGGTATCTGGTTAATATCGCCGCCTTTCCCAGCTCATTAGATCTGGTGTCTGTAGCTTTTTCCATTTCTCAGCCTCCCACATGATTATGGGTCACTCGCTTTTCTTGGGTTGCCAATAAAAGAGAATATTTGTAGCTCGGTGTTGAAATGAAGGGTCCTTGCTGCCCTCGGAGCTTGGTTGTTTTCTTGCAGACATAAGTGATAGGTACTGATGTTATCTAGTTTGGGTAATTGAAAATTATTCCAGAAAACAAGTAAGCTCAGAGAGCACCAAGGAGCCTTCATTTTCTTGGATTGATTTATTTCTTTGCTCGATATTAATTGCCGCTAGAAAAGAATATTTGTAGCTCAGAGTTGAATTGTGGGGACTTTGGTGCTCTCTGAGCTTGGTTATTTGCTTGCAGATGTTTCATTTTCTAACTAGGTAACATCAGTACTAGCAATGTTATCTACCAATGAAATGTCTGCAAGAAAACAACCAAGCTCAGAGCACCACGGATCTCACGATATTAATTGCTTCACAAAAGGCAGTCTTATTGCCCCTCCAAACCTTACACTAATGAAGTTTCCTCATAAGGTAACAGAATTGAGAGTTTATGTTGGTGTGGAGCCTTGGTGACCATACAAAATTTCCCCCTGGAGGATCTGTTTTCAACTTGATCCTTCAGGTGTTATAACTGTTCACTTATAGCACTGTAACTCAGTCTACCTTCCTGGCTGCTGGTCATCCTATTCTCTTTCCTTCCACCTTTCCCAGCATTAGATCCTTCCCCAGAGAGCTGGGTCTTTGATCTTATATCCAAAGTAGGATCATTTGAGCCTGTGCATCTTGAGTGAGAATTCTGGGTTGATTTGTTTGATGATTCATTGGTTTGTTTTCTTGGCTATCTTACTGTCAATACTCTATCCTGCTTCAGGGTCCAACATTCACTTTCATAGTGTTCACAGGGAATACTGTTCTTATATTATTGTGATCTTTGTAGATATAGCATGTGATCACATACCACAGCATCTGAATATTTTTTCCAAGGCCTTCATGGCTGCTCTTGACAAGGGCTAGTCCATTGCATATTTGTTGACTGCTTGTTCCTTTATTATTGTTAATGGGTAATCCTAAAAGGAAGAAATCTACCTTTTCATTGTCAATCCTAAAACTGGTTGTTGTACCTTTGTCATTAGATTGGTTGTCTTTATATTTGATTTTGGGAGGAAAGATTTCCATTTTTGGGCTATCAAGTAACCAAATTAGCATAGCACAGCTAATTGAAGTTTCTTCTTCCAATTTTTTTTCTTCATATCTTCTTTCAATCCAAATTCCCTTAATATATATTCAGACTGTTGAATAAATAGGGTGCTCTACGCTCCTAATCCTTAGACCAGCGGTGGCGAGCCTATGGCATGCGTGCCAGAGGCGGCACTCGGAGCCCTCTCTGTGGACACACGTGCCGTTGCCCCAGCCTTGCCTCCCCTGCGACCCCCTCCTCACCAGCAGTCCCCCTGGAGGAGAGTTGCCTCCGAGCATGGCCCACACACAGCAGCGCAGCCAAGGACATGGCAGCCAGGCAGCATAGACAAGACTCTGCCCTCACGCCCCATCGCGCCCAGTTGATGCTGCGGGGCATGGACAGAGGGCGTGGCTGCCATGGCGCTGCTGGGCGGTCTGCGGCAGGCCCTGGAGGCGTGAATGGCCTTGCGGGCAGGCGGGTGGGGGCAGGGCAGGGGGTAGAGCAGGGCGGGGCCAGTTTTTGGGCACTTGGTTTCTAAAAGGTTCGCCACTACTGCCTTAGACAGTTCGGAAAGATCAATAGTATCAAAATCCGTCTGAGATGAAGCAGATGTAGATGGATTATACTACCCCATCTTGGTCCTGTGCAAAATGCACGTTCTCATTGTTTCCTTGAAATGAAACCCGCTCCCCTTGTTCTTGTAGGCTATTAGTTAAAAACAGTGATGGAGATTTGACTTGAATTAAGTTACAAAAAATTAGATAAAGTATTTTGCTTATAGATATGGTGCAAGTAACAACGATATTCTGTTTCTTTTAGGATCTGAGTGGAGTTCAGGGGTTCCAGAAGATAGCTTTTCAAGTGATGATGGAGAGCAGGGTGATGAAGTTGATGATACACCTAAGACCCCAGATACACCTAAAGATGCAGCAGAATCCAAAGAAGCAGGAAACGCTGGATGGGCTGAAGCCATGGCCAAAGTGCTTAACAAAAAGGTTTCTAGCGATAAGCCCACTATCCTGTTGAAAAACAAGGAGCAGGATGTAGAGCGAAGAAAAGAAAAAGAAGAAAGATTGGAGCAGAGGAAGAAGGTAGGGGAAGCATATTACTGCTAGCATTCAAGAGATGCACAATGGTTGAGATATGGATCATCCTCGGCGTATGATCACAATTGGGATCAGAATGTCCTCTGCCAAGCAAGGCGGTTTTTGAGTAACTTCCACCCGATTTTACTTTTTTGCCATCGTCGTTAAGCGAATCACTGCATTTGTTAATCACATGGGTGTTAAGCAAATTCAGCTTCCCCCATTGATTTTGCTTGTCAGAAGCTGGCTGGGAAGATTGCAAATGGTGATCACATGGCCTGAGACCAGCCATGTAACTACATGCTGGTTGCCAACTGCCCTAATTTTCATCACAAAACCATTGGGATTCTGCAATGGTCATAAGTGCAAGGACAGATTGTAAGTCACTTTTTTTCAGTGCCATTGTAACTTTGAACAGTCACTAAATGAATGGTTGTTAACTCAAAGATTCCCTGTGAAATCACAAAACCCTAATTTTGGCAAGTTATCTATTGTTAACTAATTCTGTCTAGAGCAGGGATAGGCAACCTTGGCTCTTTTATGATTCGTGGACTTCAACTCCCAGAATCCCTGAGCCAGCTATGCTGAGGAGAAAGGGAGAGGTTGCCATGCTGAGCTGGAATTCTGGGAGTTGAAGTCCACGAGTCATAAAAGAGCCAAGGTTGCCTACCCTGATCTAGAGATTCTTGGATACACGGGCAGCCATATAAATTGGACTAATAAATAAATGTAAAGCTGTTGTTAAATGTATAAAATGAATGTTTTAATTCTGTTTTTGGGAACAGAGAAACATATTACGTCCTGCTACCAGGCATAGGATATTACATAATTTCTACCTCTCTGCCCCTTGGAGGAGGAGCACATTTATATTACTTTCATAGTGTATATCCTGTGTGATAAACATTTTCAGTTTCACTGCCATTAAGGGGCAGGTAACACGTGAAATGTAATTTTTAAAAATACAAAACAAAATGAAAGGTAAAATCACACATAGCCAGAGAAAATAAATGCATTCCCCCAAAAAACGGGGGCTCAACAAAGCCTGTAGAATGTTCAGGTTTTCAAAGCTATCATGCCCCAAAAGTATATGAATATAATCTTTGTTTTGCCCTATGGTTTAGAGTAGGGGTCCCCAACCTCCCGGTCCATGGACTGGCACCGGGCCAGAAACTGGGCCGCATGCTAGAAAGTGGGCCGCGCAAACAAGTGAAGCCCTTTTCATGGGATGCAGGCAGTACATGAAACCACGCCCCCTCTGGTCCGCGGAAAAACCTCTCTCCTCAGAACTGGTCCCTGGTGCCCAAAAGGTTGGGGTCCTGTGGTTTAGAAGGAAGCCTTTTCATGGCTTCTCCCCATTGAGACAGTTCTTAAATAAGGATTTAAAGACCAGTAGTAGTAACCCTGTGACCGTAGTTACATTTCTGGAGGGTATTTTATGAAAAAAATTGGGCACTTTTGACTTCCTTCTAGCTATTTTATAGAAACTCAAGGAGTTTTTTTGTTTATCTTCTCAGCACTAAGCCAAAATTGTTTCAGAGTTAACAGCAGACATATCTAGTAAACCATACTACTATCCATCAAGTCCAGGGGTGGGGAATCTTGGCTCTTTTATGACTTGTGGACTTCAACTCCCAGAATTCCTGAGCCAGCACGGCTCAGCATGGAAACCTCTCCCTTTCTCAGCATGGCTGGCTCAGGAATTCTGGGAGTTGAAGTCCACGAGTCATAAAAGAGACAAGGTTGCCTACCCCTGGTCTAAACCTTGAAGCTTTTCCTCTCTTATTAATAATAGCATAATAAATGGAGTTACTAGTTGCTAAATAAGCTGTATACAGGACACAGTGTAAATCAGTGTTTCTCAATCTTGGCAGCTTTAAAATGTGTGCACCTCAACTCCCAGAATTCCCTAGGCAGAAACCCAATGAACCCCCCACCCCCCTGGCAACAACAACTAATCCATTGATGGGCTCCGTATCAGCCTGGGATCATCAGGCCAGCTGACCAAACCATATCTTCAGAGCCTTTTAAAAACACATAGGATGGGGGCCAATCCTATCTCTACAGGGATGATGCTCCAAAGAGAGGAAGCCACTATGCAGAAGGGCTGTCTTGGTCCTTTCAGATGGGCCTCCTTAAGAGAGAGAACCCGTAGCATTCTTTGCCTCCCTACTCTGGTAGGTCAAGTAGACACAACTGGGAAAAAGACAGTCTTTCAAATAACCTGGCCTTAAGCCATGTAGGGCTTTAAACATGTCAGCCAGGACCTTGAATTGGAGCCAGAAGCCAATCAGCAACCAGGGCAGCTCCCATAAGAGAGATGACGTGTGTGCAAATCTAGAGTTGCACAAAACCGTGTGGGCTTCCACATTTTGAACTAACTGAAGCTTCTGGATACTTTTGAAGAATACTTTTTTAATTTTTCAATTGAAGGGAAGCAAATGTATCCTTCCTGAGGGTGTGTGTGTGTGTAATTCTTCTCTGTGTCTTCCCTAAAGTTGCTCTTTAGTGTGGAAGAGTGAGTATCAGTAATCGTAACGCCAGTGTTCTCCTGTAGCAGATAATAGCTTGGAGGGCATTTTCACACCAACCTTTAACTAGAAAGGGTTGATTCTTCCTTCAGTGCTTTCTATTAAATGGCTAATTCTTCCCTGTGTTTGTAACCCAGCTGAATAAAAAGCGAGAATGGGAAATGCTGTGCCGAGTGAAGCCAAATGTTGTCAAAGACAGAGAAGTTGAGAGAAACCTTCAGAGGATTGCCACAAGGTAAAAATGAACGTTTGGGCTTTGGAAAGATTTTAGATTTAGATTTAATAAAAATGTAGCCTTTATTACTTTTATAAATAACTCAAGGCAGTGATCATAACTAAGATTCCTTCTTCCTCCTACTTTCCTCACAACCACCACCCTGTGAGGTGGGTTGGGCTGTGACAGAGGGACTGGCCCAAAGTCACTGAGCCAGCTTTCATCCCTAAGGCGGGACGAGAACTCTCAGGCACTTTGTGATTGGCCCAAAGTCATCTGCTGGCCTCCATGCCTAAGGTGGGACTAAAACTCACAGTCTCCTGGTGATTGGCCCAAAGTCACTAAGCCGGCTTTCATGCCTAAAGTGGGATTAGAACTCACAGTCTCCTGGTTTCTAGCCTGGTACCTTAACCACTACAGCAAAGCAAAACAAAAAGCTTTGCAGGGTGATCTGCCTCTGATCAAATCAAATTCTTGGCTGATTTGAGTGACTTGAATGATTTATATATGTGTCTGTCTCATAAAATGTCAGCAAAAGAGTTCAGAAGTCTTATAACAAAAACATAAAATGTGGTTTAGACTGTAATGTATTAAGTCAGGGTTCCCCAATTTTTCCGGGTTGGTGGCCTGGAGGGGATGGTTTTGTGGGAGGGACAGACCCGTGCATGCGTGCACGAGCACCTGTTGCTTGCACAAGTGGGGTCGAAAGCCCCTGTGACTCACGCAAGTGAAGCCCCAAGCACTTGTGCACGTGAGGCCCCTAGTGCCCATGACACTCATGCAAGTGAGGCCGTGAGCCCCCACGACACTTGTGCAAGTGGTGCCCCGAATGTCCACGATGCTCGCAGGAGTGGGGCTGCATGTGTGCACACCAACCAGACACTCATGCAACCTGGTTGCGAATAGGCCATGGACCGCTAGTGGGCCGTGGCCCATAGGTTGGGAACCTCTGTATTAAGTAACTAAGCTGGATTTCTTTGACTTTTGAATAAGCTTGGCAAGTGGGAAAAAAAATATTTCTGATATCCTAACCCTACAGTTAGTCCTTTATTTACAACCACTTGTTTGATGACTATTCAAAGTTACTAGCCCGTCACAACATCCCCATGGTTACGTGATCAAAATTCAGGCACTTGGCAACTGGCATAAATATATAACAGATGCAGGGATCGTGTGATCTCCATTTGTGACTGTCTGGCAAGCCGAGTCAATGGGGGAGGGGAGCTGGATTCTCTTAACAATAATTAATAATTAATAACAAAAAAGGACCTGAAATTGGTATGACTCACTTAAGTGCTTTCCTTAGCAATTGAAATTCTGGTCCCAATTGTGGTCATAAATTGAAGACCAGCTATAATTATGCTTCCTTGTTGAAGCTGTGTCAGGGGGGGCCATAAACCTTGCTTCTGGCTGCCTAATTTAATTTTTAATTTCCAGGGGTGTGGTTCAGTTGTTCAATGCAGTCCGGAAGCACCAAACCAATGTGGATGAGAAGATAAAAAAAGCAGGCAGTTCTGAGAGGAAACGAGCTAAATTGATCTCCTCGGTTTCCAAGAGAGATTTCATCAACGTCCTCCGAGGAATGGATGGAAAAGAAATGGAACAAAATCCTGCTAGGAAGTCATCAAACAGCAGTCAGGTAAGCGATGTTCAGTCATTTTTTTTTCAGTGCTATCATAACTTCGAACAGTTCCTAAACAAATGATTCTAAGTCAAAGATACTCCGTAAATGAATTTGAAAGGAATAGGAATATTCTTTATTGGTCAGATGTGATTGGACAAGGAATTGTCTCCAGTGCATAAGCTCTCAGTGTACATACAAACAACTAAGCGATAAGGTCATAAATCATAAGATACAATCATAAATAAGATTACATACAACAAGTGATAAATCATAAGATACCAATAGGAGAAGGTAGTAGGAAAGATGAGAAGATGAGAAGGATAATAGCAATACAGCCCTACTACATGGGTAAATACCTTTAGGCATAAGACAGCGCTATGGGAATGCGATGTTTAGTAGAGTGATGGCATGGAGGAAAAACTGTCTTTGTGTCCAGTTGTTTTGGTATGCAATACTCTTTTTATTATTATTATTATTATTAAAAGTTTTATAAAAAATTTTACACAATATATCCCAAATCCCTCCCACCCCTCCCCCACTTCCCAGAGCTGGTTACAGGGTTACAAATAAACAAACATAATCTAATTAACATTACCCAACTAAACTATCAAACAATCCATAACATACTTTAACTCCTTTTTAAGATAGATATTAACAAATTAAAAACAAAAATAAAATATAATTAAACCATAATACTAAAAATAATACAAATTCAACCATATTAAACTATTAATAATAATCTAAAATTTACTCATAAGCAAGACAATACTTTTCAATCTCATATTTCTTTTGAATATAATCAATCCATCTTCTCCAAACTGAAATATATTTTTCTTGTGAATGGTCCTTTAAATAAGCGGAGATTTTTGCCATTTCTGCTAAATTGGACACCTTAAGTATCCATTCTTCCATAGCAGGCAAAATATTTTTCTTCCAATATTGCCCCACCAGTAGTCTTGCAGCTGTTATATGTATGCAATACTCTTGTGGTGGCAGCCTGAGGGAGAACTGGAAACAGTTTATGTCCAGGATGCAAGGGGGATCTGTAGATATTTTCTCAGCCATCTTTCTGGCTTGTGCAGTATACAGGCCTTGATGTATCTGAGATGGAGAGGGTAGCAATAGTTGATAGTGTTCTCCTCTCAAACCGACAGCAGAACACATTCAGGTGTTAATTGCTGGTGGTAAATAGGAGCCGTGGTGGCACAGTGGTTAGAATGCAGTGTTGCAGGCTAACTCACAGTTCACTGCCAGGAGTTCAATTCTGACTGGCTCAAGATTGACTCAGTCTTCCATCCTTCCAAGATTGATAAAATGAGGACCCAGATTGTTGGGGGCAAGATGGTGACTCTGTAAACTGCTTAGAGAGGGCTGTAAAGCACTGTGACGTGGTATATAAGTCTAAGTGTTATTGCTATTGCTAAATTCTTCTTTGAGCAGGATAAGATAATGCTAATCTTGAAGAAAGCAACAGTCTTCTCTAGTCTCTCAATTCAGGCATGCAGGATGCTACCATCCTACCTCCAACTTTCCATTTCAGTTATCGTCTGCTGAACTTTCCTCTACTTTCCATTCCCAAATTCTCAGGAGAAGTCGAAATCCGAAGAAGCTCCAGCATGGAGTATATTGCGAGACGATTACATGATGGGAGCCTCGATGAAGGACTGGGATAAAGAAAGTGAAGAGGAGAACAATGCTGGAGAAGGCAGCAGCATCAAGCAGGAGAGTGGAAGTGATTCAGATCGATAATATTCAGAGTCATCCAGAAATCCAAGGGTATTTTTGACACATTTTGGAGGGATTGGGCTTTAAAGGACGCCTTTTTATACACAGCCCACCTTAAAGAACATGAAACTTGGGCAGCCGATAAATTTAAATAAATAACAGTAATTTTCACAATGGATTAGCTGACTGTCCTGTGACTCTGTAACAATATTTGATCAACTTGGCCAATCCAAATGCCGTTGCATAGTTATGAATACTTTGTAAAGTACCTGGAGTCTTAAACTGGAGTGGGTTATACATATGTCTATATGCTGTACCTTTGTAGTCAGGAAAGGGATGGGTTTTGAAGTGGAAACTAGATGGATGGTCCCATCAGGCACCCATCATTAAATCAGTCATTTCACTTTGCAGGTTTATTTGAAGTTTCACTGACTTAAACGTCTTTGTTTATATATTGATTTTGTAAAAGTCCGAGATCATAAGATTGTGCTGAGGGTTGGTCTGTAATGGCTCAGTCACACCTGCCTGGCACCAGTTAAAAGCAAAGAATCCCTTCTACTTCAGTTAGCACAATGAAGCAAGTTGTTGTTTCTTACTTAGAAACAGGTAAAATAGACTACTTCTGTAATGGGAGAAAATGTGTATTTATCCTTTTCCCCTTATTTATAAAAGCAGCTGTGAAGTGTTCGTTTTCATTAAATCGATTTCAAATCTGAGAAACCTAGGGAGAAAACTTTCATTTGTGGTTTCAGTGGAAAACAGGTTTTGAGGAAACGTGCAGATTTAGGGAAGAAATTCTACGATTCCTGTTTATTCATTTCACAGACTTAAAGCAGCCATTTGGCATTTCAGGAGAAAGGTATAACTAACCGAAAAGTTCTTTGTTATATATACTGTATATTTTGTCTTCTTTTTTGTGTATACAAGTAATCCTCGACTTACCGTATTTTTCCACCTATAAGACGCACCCTCTAAGACGCTCTGGCATGCGAGTTTCTGTTTCGAGCGCCGAACAGCTAAGCTGGCAAATCTGGAAATTCGGCCGGCCGACAATCTTGCCCCCTCCCATTAGTGGCAAGCCCACAGGGGCTTGACACCTGCACCAGGCAGCATGGCAACCCACACAGGCATGCCCTGGGCTACCAAGGTTACCCTTATTTTCCCGTGTATAAGACGCACCTGATTTTTGAACAGGGTGTTTGCAGGGAAAAAATAGCATCTTATACACAGAACAATACGGTAAAGATCGTAAATGAGCCTGCCAATTACAGTCGGAGGTTGTGATGGTTGTAAAGCTGGTCATCATTAGACTCATTTCTACAATGTTTTTGTGGTCGTCATTAAGTGAACACTGCAGTTGTCAAGTGAGCCCAGTGTTCACAAGGTGGCAAATGGGCCTATTGCTGGAAACCAGAAATAAAAAACCGGTTTCTGGCAAAACCATTGTAAATTACAATCATATGACTGTGGGACACCGCAAATGGCTGTAAATGTGGGCCAGTTGTTGAGCAACCAAAATAACAATCATGTGACTAACTTTGAACAGTCACTAAGCAACCAGCTATAAGTCAAAGGCTACCTGAATATACATATAACTTGAAAGAATAATATATTGCTACATCAGGAGCAATAATTGCTATTCCTGAACTTTGTATATATATATATTTTAACTAGTCAGTCCCTAAAATTTGGCTTCTTACCATAGTTCCCATAAATATAACATTACAGTAAACATAGTTAATATTTCCTCTAAGCTGTGTCAGTCAAATATGGAAGTAGATGTGGCCTTTCAAGCTTCAATCCTATATTGCCATATTAATATCTAGAGGCAGAGCATAATGTACGAATGAAAAAAAATGCAAGCATTTGCTGTCTTTAATGCAAAATTCATATCTTGAGCACATGGTTGTAGAACTGGACCCGGATTTTGTCTTTTATAAAAAACTGAGCAGAGAAAGAAACAACGTGAAATGTTTGTGTATTGTACAGTACAGGTAATCCCCGAGTTGCAAGCGTTTCCTTAGCGAAAGTTCACAGTTACGTGATAAGTACCCCCTAGTGTTTATGAAGAAACTCCTGAAATTACGAACGTTGCCGCACCACGAACGACCGCAGTGGCACTACAACATTCACTCTGGCTATTTCTCCCCCCCCCCCCCGGGTCTCCCTAGGCACCAGGCCTTGGATACTCATCTTGCGAAGATCGAGGTCCTTCGCTTTCTTGGCTGCTCCAGGCCTTTGATTTGTTCGCAGAGAGTGGAGACCTAAAATAACACAAGATCGTGCAACATCAGTGGCGCTAGATCTCACACTACTGATCTCACGGTACTTTAGTTTAGGCCTCTGTTTGCTGCAACAGAGAATGGAACCGAAGCCGGGGTGTGCTTCTATGTGTGCCTCTGAAGGCCCAATCTGGGCCTCGGAGGCCTCCTCCTGGCCACTGCCACCCGCAAATGAGGCCGGGGGATGCTTCCGCGTGCCTCCAAAGGCCTGATCCGGATGTCAGAGGGCTTTTCCAGGCTGCTGCGCCCAGAAATGAAGCTGGGCGATGTTTCTGTGTGTGCCCTTGAAGGCCCGGTTTGGGCCTCGGAGGCCGCCCCCTGGCCACTACCACCCGGAAATGAGGCCAGAGGATGCTTTCGCGTGCCTCCAAAGGTCCGATTTGGGCGTCAGAGGGCTTTTCCAGGACTTCTGGAAGTGGCTTCCACACACTTCCGCAGGTCTGTTCTGGGCGTCCGAGGCCCAGAATGGAGGCCATGGGCGGTGGCCACATGCTTCCAAACATCTGTTCTGAGCCTCCAAGGCCTCCCTCTGCTCTTGCCGGGAGCAAAGAAACAGAATGGAAAGGAGACAGATCTTCACAAAATAAGTGACCTGGGAACATGAGGTATCTCATTGGGGGAGCTGTTTGGGTGGTTTGAAGCAGGTCACTAGGCTCTCCCATGGCCTTCTCCACCCTGAGATACCTCATGTTTACTTAACCCGCGCATTTGTCCACGCATTAAATTAGTGAACGCCTGGGTGAAAATGGAGTGATTTGCGTTCAAGGTACGCGATTCACTCCTACGAATCCTCGAGTTACGAATGGAATGAGCATTATTTCTCTCTAAAAATCAATTCCTGACACATTTTTGTGTCAGATTAAAAGTTAAGGGGAAATGGTAAAACGTTTACAATGTTGTGATTATTACAAAATTTTTAACTGTTTTTGTCCCTTTTCTATGTTTAACCTTGTGATGTAATCTGCCTAGAGTTACCTTGCTATTTGGGGCTGCAAATAAATACATGAGATGAAATGTTAAAAGTTATTAAATGTTGATACATACGATAAAAAGTTTTATCTTCTTATCTGATGTTTGGCCTGCTTCAGTGGAAAAACTCCTAGATTGTATTGTGTTAAAATGGGGTTGATGGACTCTCCTCCTGCTGTTGTAATGTTTTTTTATTTGTTTTTTGTTTTTTCAGCAGTTAGCAGTTATTTTGTTTGGAGAAAGAACTGAGCGATTTTCAATAAGGGCAACCCCTACCCCAAAACTTGAAGAAAACATTAAAATAACTGAGGAAAAAAAAAACATCCAGCCTTTGACTCACTCCCTAAAAGAGATTGTTTGACTCTCCCTCAGTGGCCTTCATATGTCATAGACTTTTAATAAGATCTCATTTGATTTGTCCTTAATTAATTCCAATGCTTTATCTGGATTAGACAGTTGAGAGAAAAATAGAATAATAAAAGTTTATTCAGGCCAGATTTTGGTGGCCTTTTTAAAGGGAAGATGTTGTTAAACTTACATTTTACTCCTGAATACAGAGTTTGGTGGGGGGGGGTTTTTCCTAGTTCTGAGTAGGACATCTATCTATCTGTCGACCTAATTTAAATTTGAATGACTAATTCCTTCCTTGTAATGTTGGAAAAACAACCTTTCACATGAGGCTCTTCTGATGGAAGAAACATTTCCACATGTATTGATTTTTTTTAAAAAAAAATATTAAACTCATAATGCCATGTTGCCATGTCTCATTTTTTCTTCATGTTCTAAAACAATGTAACGATGCTAAGAAAAAGACTCAGGCATGTCTTGAGCAGAGGTTTGAAGCTGCATGACACATCTTCACACAGCTTCTCAAACTCTTGAGTTTATTGTTTTTTATATACTTTTTACATACATAGGCTTTATCATTAACTGCTGACATTTTACATTTAGAAGTTTAACCTTTAGTTGTTGACATAAAGTAATTGAAAAATTCCTTCATATAAGCAATTATTTTCTAGTAATACATTATCTGTTGAAAGCAGGTAAAAACAAATACAGGTAAATTAGAAAAGGAGAAAGAACTGATAAAGACAAGAGGTAAAGACAGGAAGAGATAAGGGGGAACTTAAAGCATATTATTTATTTAGGTGGGTAAGATATTAAGTCAAAAGGGGGTGATCTTTTGGCTGCTTCCTTGGGACAAAGGGTATCAAAAGGTTATGAGGTTTGTGGGGGGCAATGCATGGCAGTTTGCTGCACGTGCAAATTCCTCCACAAAACAATGCTTTTTTTGTTAGTCCAGAATATAGTGTTGCTGAGCTTTTGGTGCATGGCCTACACTACAGTAACTCCTGCTGTTGTATGCTTGTGTGTGAGAGAGGGAGAGAGAAACCCCATTTATTCTCAACAAGTAAAAATGTGAGAAAGGATTATTTTGTCCTCACTTAGACAAAACCCATCTTACTTCTGGCAAATCATAGTAGTATGCCAAATGTTTTGAATTAAAAACAATATGAACTCAAAATGGTTTCATCTACCCGCTCTGTTCTGAATTGAAAACATTTTGAGCTTAAAACGGGGTATTTCCAACTTTATTGGAAATGATCCAATGGTGGTTTTTTGACCAAGGAAAAATTTCTGTTTGGAACACTGTAAAGAGGATTGATTCATGAGCTAGCCAAGACTTCATCAGAGCAGAAACTTGTGCTTAACAACCAGATGGAATTTGGCATCTGCTGCAGTAATTGTGGCAAACAATCATGATTTCAAGTCTGTCAGCAAAGTTTCTTTGAACAACTTACTTTCTCTAAAAAAAAAACCCCATGTTTCTACACCCTTGATTCAGTATTCATCATTCAGCGGTAACAGAAGACAGAATTAACAACATTCCCTAGAACAGTGGTTCTCAACCTGTGGGTCGGGACCCCATTTGGGGTCGAACAACCATTTCATGTCCGCCATTTTCCCCCCCTTTTCTTTGGCCACGCCCCTGGCACCCGATGATGTATAAGTGGTTGGGGGTCGCCACAACATGGGGAACTGTATTATGGGGTCGCGGCATTAGAAAGGTTGAGAACCACTGCCCTAGAACTTATTTATTTTAAAAAGAAATTATAAAGCTGCCTATCTTCTAATCTAACCAATTCTGGGCAGCTCCCAATTCAAAGTTAAAACGACGTATAAAATCATATTAAACAGATGAAAACATTAAAAACGGCAAAAACCTGGTGCCAAGTCAAACTTGTGCAGTTGTCCAATCTTATCCCAGCACTTGTGGGGAAGAACCAGATCTTCAAAGCTTTACAGAAGGATAAGAACTTGGGGGAAGGGGGGGGCAGAGTGTTCCATAGGGCAGGGGCTGCCACGGAAAAGGCATGCTTCCCAACTCCCAATAAAGGAGAATATTTGATGCTCGGGATTGAAATGAGAGGTCCTTGATGTTTCTCTGAGCTTGGTTGTTTTCTTCCAGACGTTTCATTACCCAACTAGGTAACATCATCAATGCACTGTTCCAGTAATGAAATGTCTGCTAGAAAATAACCAAGCTCAAAGAGCACCAAGGGCTCCTTATTACCCCAGAAGGAATGGGGGGAGGGACTAGGACAGTGGTGGCGAACCTATAGGACGCGTGCCAGAGGCGGCACTCAGAGCCCTCTCTGTGGGCGCGCGTGCCATGCCCCTAAGATGGCAACTGTCCCTCTTCAGCCAGATGCCCACTAACTCACCGAGGTCCCACATGGCCGGATGCATCCCAGCACAGCTGGTTTCCCCCCCCCCCGTCCCATCCCTCCTGGCCTCGCATGCTCTCCTTTTCCTGGGCACAACCCATTGCATTGCCTCCTCAGCTGTTGGCCAGCCATCCAGCTCAGAGGCAGTTTCTCTGAACTGCTGGTGGTGGGCTGCGGAGCCCCAGAGTGTACCAGTTGAGGTGCTGGCAGGCTGTGGCTGCTGACAGACACTGTCGGCCCCCATGCGCTGGCTGGCCTCTGTGTGTGGGGGCTGATGGTGTCAGGGAGCAGCCGCCCCGGCCCCTGCCTCACCTTGCCCTGCGACAATGGCACCCCCACCCTCCCTCGCCTTGCCTCACCCCTCAGAATGAGCCTCCTGCCCACTGCCCCACCTGCCAGATCCACCTGGATCTCCCCCAACCCTGCCCGGCCCCCACAGGCGTCCCTCCCCACGAGCAACATCAAGGTGACCATGCCTAACTTGGCCACACCCACCCGGACTGCCATAACCACAGCCACGCCCACCTGGCACCTGGCGATACATAAGTGGGTTTTGTGTTGCAGTTTGGGCACTCGGTCTCTAAAAGGTTCGCCACCACTGGACTAGGAGCAGACCCATCCTATCTGACCTGGGAGAACAGGTAGATGTCTTTAGGGAAAGGAAGTTCCACAGACAGCCTGGCCCTGTGCCACTGAGGCTTTAAAGATGATGAGCAGCATCTTGAATTGCACCTGGAAAGAAACTGGAGCCTGTGCAGCTCTCGCAAGAGATATGACATAGACAAACTTAGAGCAAACCCATTACTGTGTACACTGCTGCATTCTGGACCACTTGAACTTCTGCTCGTGACTTGGGTGCCACTGAATCCGTGCACTGCACCCTGTTTTATTGTTCCTTTTTAATTGGCCCTGATTAGGAACACTCTTAGGTAATCTAATGCATTTTGTTAAAGATCATGTGGCAAACCAAGAGACAAACGGTTCAGTCTCAATTTACAAAGTTTTGCTACTCTGTCTGAAACTCTGTGCACCAGGGTCTATTTTATAGCTGCGCAGATTACGGTTGTGCTTGATGCTGGATATAAAGGTCTGTACCTCACAGCGACTTTCATTGTGCATGTTACTGTAAATTACAACTGCTGTTTACAGCGACTGTAGTAAAGTTTTACACCCTGCTATAAATCTTTTACACTGGCTAGTGAGTTCAATAGCCTGCTCATTTCTGAGCTTGACAAAAAGCTTGAAAAACTCCGCATCCAAAGTTTATGGTCCAGTAAACCCAGGAGGACTCCGTGTGTCAGGCAAATCTGAAAAACAAGATTAAGTGTGAGGTTAATCCTTTTTGTATTCCAGCAGGGAGACAAGAATTTAGAGTGGCATGGCAAAAATGGGCTGTTTTATATCTTTTTCTAGATTTTTTTTTCCTTCAGTCCTGTGGGTGAACTGGGCATAAAGAAAGCTTGGGAAAGGTTAGCTTGGGAGCACTTTCCCAAAATGGCAGCCATGGTTGAAGCTTGCCCATGCAGGAAGGTAAATGAGAGCAGAGATATTTTCAGGTATACCATACAGTCCCCAAAATGCTCTTTAGGCCAGACATGTCAAACACAAGGCCAGGGAGCCAGAAGCGGCCCGCAAAGTGGTTTCATGTGGCCACAAAGCCATCCTGGAAACAGTGAGGGAACAGCCCCTGCTGCCTTGGCCCTGGCCCAAGCCAGCCGGGAGCCAATGTACAATTTTGTGGTGGGCATCTATGCTGAAACACATTCAGTCTTAGCTCCGCAAGGCCGTCTAGAAACAGCGAGGAACCAGCCCCTGCTGCGTGGGTGCATGCTGGGGAGGTGTCACCCTTTGTGAGGAATGAAGAAATGGACCATGCCTTGGCACTTGCCCCGGTCCCACCTCCTTCTGCCAGAGACCCTCAGATCTGTCCCACTCCTGCCCAGGCCCCCACAGGCACCCTTGACGCGAACGATGTAGAGCTGGCCCACCCAGTAGGCCACATCCACTCCAGTCACGCCCGTCCAGTAGGCCGCACCCACCCTGGCCGCACACACACACACGGCTCCCCGAGGGCAACCGCAATGCTGATGCGGCCCTCAATGAAATTGAGTTTGACACCCCTGCTTTAGGCCATCCATGCAGTTGATTTTTTTCTGACCACACATACTTTCCAATAAAATACAGATTTGGCTATTCAGATGATGTCCTAGAATTAAAATAAGTACCTTTTGAGCACATGGCTGTGCCAGTCGCAAGTTTGAGGACCAGTCATAAGGGACTTTTTTCAGTGCCATGTAACTTCAAATGGTCGCTAAATAAATGGTTGTAAGTCGAGGATTACTTGTAACCGGTTTGCCACAATCTCTAGAAAGCACTCCTGGTTTCCAGAAGTACAGCAGTGAAGGTGTTTTTTTTTTTTCACATGATTTTATCAATTTTTAAGTGGATCTGGCTGCAGATTTTCTCATCTTGTAAATTAATTTGTTTTATGTCAGCCCCTGCTGGGACAAACTTTTACGCAAGATTTCATGTTAAGCTGCTTAACTATTGCACTTTAATAATACACTGCAGTAATTTCATATTTGCCTCAACCTAATTTGAAAAGCCCTTGAATTTCAGAAGAGTTCACCTGGGGTAAGAACTTTATCAAGGTCACAACGTAAAGCTGCTCTAACACCCCCTTTCTGTACCAACAGAAGTCTTAGTACCTAGTCTAATTGCATGGAGTAATCATTCCGAATTAATGCAAGTCTTAGTAAGGAAAAATCATAGCTGTAATCCTGACCTACATTTTATTCTTTTGCAATATCTGGAAAGCAACACTAATCATTGCCCAGAAAGTGGCTTCAACAATCTTATTTTTGCAAGTTTATATAGCTAGTCCTTGACTTACAACTATTCGTTTAGTGACTGTTCAAAGTTACAACTCCACTGAAAAAATGTGACTTAGTACCAGACCTCTTACAGCATCTCCCCTCCCCCGGTCATATGATCAAAATTTGAGTGCTTGCAATCCATAGGTGTTTA